TATTCCGCCTCCGGTCTCTTTCTGCCCTCTGATTACAAGGAGAAAGTTTGTTTAAAGCAATCCCTTCCCCTCCCTTTTCATCACACAGAGCAGCCCGGGGGTGAGCGTGTAGCCCATTGGCATTCTTAACACTTTCAGTTTCATTGATTCATTGTTTATTGTTACTGCTACTTTCTATTTCTGGTAAGCAAAACCAGCTTTCAGTTTATGGCCGGGATCCAAAGCTTTCCTTTAAGGGGCCTAGGGAGATAGTTCAGTAGAATAAGCGCTTGCCACAAGGGCCTGAGTTCAATCCCCAGTTCCGCCAAATAATAATAATAATAATAATAATAATAATCGGGAGATAGCTCAGCAAACTAAGCGCCTGTTTAGGCAATAGCAGGGACCAGGGTTCAAGTCCCTGGCACCACATGCTGCGCTGGTCCCGCCCCAGGTCGCGCTGAGCTAGCCATAGAAGCCCACGTGATGGTGCATGCCTGTAATCCCAACACTGGGGAAACTGAGACAGCAGTCTGAGCTGAGTAGTGAAATCCTGCACCAAATACACTAAAAAAAAGGGGGGTGGTTGGATGAAGCAAACAGTCTAAAGGCAGGGAATGGTGAAAGAATGGGAAGCATGTTTTTCCAGCCAGCAACAACCAAAAGCTGGAGTAACGCTGTAATCAGAAGACATCACAGTGAATTAGGGTGTCTGGGGTTGGCAACTGCCCCATCTTTCCCAAAACACACAGAGAACTGAAGATTTGCAGGGTCTCTGCTCTGCGACCAACCCTGTGCTAAGCACCATGTTTATATGACTTTGTATGGTCCTCACAACATCCTTGCAAGACACTCTAGAAATTGAGTCTTAAAAACATTAGTTTAGCTGAAGTTGTAAACTCCTAAAGCAGCATTGGCTCTTGTGTACTTTGGGCAGTCTGGAATTTTCTAAACCACTTCAGAATTTAGCAAGTTTACAAATTCCCTGCAATTTTTTTTTTTAATTTATGTATTTGTTACAGGGTCTCACTATGAAGCTTGGAGTTGTAGTGATCCTCCTGTTTTCAGCCTCTCCACTGCTGGGATTACAGCACAGCATGTGGGGCCGGGGATCGAGCCCCAGACCCTATGCTTGCCTAAACAGGCACTTAGTCCACTGATTAGTTCACCAGCCCTAATTCCCTGCAATTTTATATTAAATTATGCATGCTACTTTAGGCAGAGAAGGTAGATAGCTCTCATGAATTTTTCAAAAAGATCTGTATGTCTAAGTTTGAGAACCAAAGTTATCGTGATTATAAAGCTATCCATGCCCTATATTTTCCTTTTATTATGGTGATTAAACAGAAAAATGGGTTTTATTTTGATATATTCATACATGTATATAACTTACCTTGATTATTTTTATACCCTGCCCTTTTGCCCTGCTTCTCTGCCCTTGCGATGCATGGGGCCATGGTCTTTTCCCGGCCTATAGGACCTTGAGAACGCTGTGTGAACCAACGGTGTGTCAAGCAGACAACAAGCCTACAAGAATCAGATGGGCATGGCTGGCAACAAGCATCCCCTTCGTAAATCTTACACACATGCACACATATGCACTCACATACACACACATGTACATATTCTACATGTTAGCTACCTGGCACTGACACAGTCCCATCTTAAACAAGAGGCAAGCTGCCAGCCAGGTAGTCAGTCAAGGGAAGAAGGTGTGCATGTGCTGCAGGAGTCAGCCTGAGAAGCCGCAGCGCCTGCGGGACGGCCTGGAGAGCTGTGCAGGTACATTCCCGCAGACACATTCCAGTTCAGTCTCTTTATCCTACCAGCTGTCCATTTCTTTTTCTTTTCTTTCTTTCTTCCTTTTTTTTTTTTTTTTTTCTTTTTGTATTTTAGGGAAGGGTCTACAGGGTGTTCAGGGTCTCACTACTAGATCCGACTTGTAGCCATCCACCTGTTTATAACCTCCCAAGAGCTGGGATTACAGGCATGTGCCACCATGCCCAGTCCTCAATCGCTGTCTCAGAGAGCTCCAGGGGCGGGGCCAGCACGACAGGCCCTCGGATCGAACCCTCGGCCCCTGTGCCTGCTTGCAGGTGTTTTAATCTGCTGAGCTATTTGGCCGGCCCCCAGCTGTCCATTTCTGAGAAACACCTGTGCCTAGGAGCATCACACACATGCACACATGCATGCACATATGCACACACACACACATGCAGACTACCCTGGAGGCAGGCTGCAACACAGCTGTCAAAGCTGACAGCAAGAAGTCACTGGAGCCTGGCAGCATCTCTGCTTTCTCTAAAGACTAAAACTGGGTCCAAACATTTCTGCGCAGCCTACGGTTCCCTCTGACCTTGAGCTTCTTTTCCTGCCCCTCTCTTCTCTGTCAGGTGTCTTCAAGGGTGGCTGGTGACTGCCACAAACTCCCTACTTGCGCACGCATTCTCTTATCCGCAGACCTCAGGGATCCTCTGCCTGTCCTCTGCTGCTGAGGCTGCGCCGCTCCACCATGGCTGGCTTCCTACTCACCACCTGTACTGAAGACTTTTCAGACCTTACCTCAAGCAATCTTCTGATTGCTTGCTGCGGCCCATTACCTGCTCCTCAGATCGTGCCTTGTGTTCCTCATTCCCTGCATTGTAAACTGCCCCTCTGTAACTCTTGCTCTAAGTGCAGGCTTTGCCTCTCACATAGTGACTCTCAAATCCACCTAAGTTCTCTCACCCCCATAACATATTTTATTGCCCAGACAGAATACAATGATCTCCTTTTCTGTCCCTAGAGGAAAATGTACTGGAGCAACAACATTCCCTGTCCTGTTATTGGCTCCACAGACCTCGAAGCCAGGCAAGGACATGCTGCCTCTCTGCCCCCCAGACCAAGTGATCACTGCGTCCTGCAGAATTCCCCTCTCACCTGGGGATATGGCTCATGAGCAGTACACATGCTTCTGCACTGGAGAGGCCCCAAATTTGATCTTCAGTGCTAATGAAAAATCCACACATGTCCATCTCTGTGGCTTATTGAACAATCTGGGTGAAATCATGCTAATTTGCATTTCTCATCAGTTGCCCCCTAGACAACTCCAATAACCTCGGACCTGCATGTAGTGCCTCCGCTCTTCCTAGGCCATTGTCTTTCCTTAGGCCTTGCCCTGCCTACACAGCCTCACCTCCTCCGCTGCCCTCTTCTCTGGCCAGCAAGCTCCCACTCATCTGGCAAGACTCCACTCAGGAAAAGTGAAAACAGGAAGTCTTGTGCTTCACCAGCTTTTGTTCTTCCCAAAAGATGCTACAGCAAACCTCTAGTTACTCTAAAGAGTGTGCTCTGAAACACTTTTCTGCAGTTTGGAAATCTAAAAAACCATGGGGGGAGGCGAAATAGCTCAGCAGACTAAAGTGCCTGCCTAGGCAAACACAGGGCCCATAGCTCAGTCCGCAATACCAAATGCTGCGCCAGCACCCAGGGCAGGCTGAGCCAGCCACTGAGTCTGGGCATAGTGGTGCACACCTGTAATCCCAGTGCTGGCAGGCTGAAAACAGGAGGATCCCTATGAGTCTGAGCTGTGTAGTGAGACCCTGTAACAACCAAATACATTTTTAAAAAAATCTATAAAACCTAAAGCAAATTGATTTGAGGCTATTTACAGTCTTTGGTCCAATTACGATTACTATTCCTATGACATCGCTATACAGACCACCCTGGGACCCTTTGTGAGCCGTGAGATACAGTCTGGCCACATATCACAGCTCCAGAACTTCAGGCTGTAAACTCATCTTCCTTCAGATAAGGGGTACAGACCTGTGTGGCTACTACTTCCTGTCTGTGTCACCTCAGAATAATAGCACCCTAAAGCTCCCAGTGTCACTTGTCTATGCCTAAACCCCTGACAGTGTCTGGCTCAGTAGAGATTTGCTGAATCAGTTAAAGGTATATTTAGGAACATGCCCTGTGTTCGCAGGACTGATTCCCAAGGTCGAAACCTGATACCTCTGGGTGTCAGCCTCCTACTAGCCCTCCTCCAGGCGGTACTGCACCTGCATGCACATCAGACCTCACGCTGCCTGTCATGGCCCGCAAAGCCATCTCAGCTGAAGCTGAGTAGGTTGCAAGCGAAGAAGGTATCATATTAGTCTTCATATTTCTGGATTCAAAGTGGCTATCACAATGTCAGGCATATAACACCATAAGGATATGTTCTGCTGACAGCAGAAAGGAAGGAGAGCGGTTGAAGAAGAGCAGCTGCAAAAGGCAGAAGTCTGCAAGGCAACTTCATCTCTTCACGGGGCTCTGTGTGTTCCCAACTCAGCCTTTTCACTGTGTGGGCCATCTCTGTGCGTCACTCTTGTCACATCATGTTTTTCATTTACTTTGTATGTAAACAAATTAGTTTTTTAAAAAGAATTTTAACTTGATCTTGGAAAGTCACTTTTGCTTCCACGACAAGGTAAAGACAAAATATTGGTCTGAATTTCTCTTTTGGCTCTGCCTTTTGCCTAAGGCCCCTGATCTTTGGGAGAAAGAAACTGGGCAAGCAAAGGATCCTGAAACTTGGCCTGGATGCAGACTCCTCCATGATGTTAACAAGAGTGAAGAGAAATCACAAAGGTAGCAGCAGCACAGGCCTCAGCATTACTTAATTGAATCCATTTGTATTGGTTCTTGTATGCATTAGTACGCTAGCAGCACATAATGATTCTGAGCAGAGTTGCTGCACGGACACAGCCCGTCCTAACTCTTCCCTGCTGTTCGCTCCTGTCTCAGGTCAGCCAGTGTTACCTCAGGGTCCTCCAGGCAGGACACAACTGTAGGAATTTTCCTCTTTCCATCACTCAGCTCCTTCATCCAAGCTATTTCTCCACATCAACAGTTACTCCTCCCCCTTCAGAGTAGTTTCCACTCTAATTAGACTCTAACTAAAGGAGGGGAATTTTCCACCTGGCCATCCACAAGGCAGAAGATCTGATTCTTTGGATGGTGTGTGTGGTTTCCAATAAGCAAAGTGACAAGATTTGTAAAACACAGCTTTTGCCTATGAGAGTTCGTTGTCTTCTGTTAGTTTAGGAGATGATGGTTGGTGAATGTGTGTTTGCCTCATAAAACAAGCAGGGAGCAGAAAAAGCGTTTCTCAAACAGAAGAGAGATGTATTTGGTTACCACTAACCCTGGGGCTTCTGATAGCACATAAATATGTTCCTTGCTTTGTAAACTTTATGAGGAAAAACAGCTCATCCAGAGTAAAGTTGAGCCCAAATGTTTTCTCTCTTGTGGCTTTGGTCTTTGCTCCCAAGTGCAATCTCAACTGGGCGGGAACTCATACTTCTGAATACACAATAAATTCCATACCAATATTTTCATCAAGCCCAAGTAGATTGAGAGTCTAATGTTTTATTTATTGAGTTAGTTTTCCAATCACAGGAAGAATATGGTTAAAGAATTATGTTAGTGTCTCTTTCCATTTTGTAATTCCTTCAGTTTCTTAAACATGTGAAAGGAAATGGAGGTTATTCTGATATCTGCCACAGAATGACAAACACTGTCCCACTCAACATATTTGAGATAACTGTTGATTCAATAAACCCAGTCACAAAGTACTTAATGAGATATAACATACATACTAGAGTTACAGAAGAGAAAAAAATCAGTGGTGCTAATTCTACTTTTACTCCACATTTTGATAACTGAATCACCATATCCTCTTTGCATCTTTAGCTGATTAATTGAAGACATGTAAGAATAGTAATATGAATAATAGTAATATTAACCAGCGAGGTAGCTCAGCAGACTAAGTGCCTGCTTTGGCAAGCACAGGGACCAGGATTCAATCCCTGGTGCCACATACTGTGCCGGCCCCGCCTCCGGGACACACTGAGCAAGCAACCAAGTCTGGGCATGGTGGCACATGCCTGTAATCCCAGCGCTGAGGAGCCTGAAAACAGGAGGATCACTATGAATCTGAGCTGCATAGTGAGACCCTGTACCAAATACATAAATGAAAAAGTAAACTAAAAATATAAAAAAGGTAATATCAATCTTCAAATATGCACATTAAAATGAAGTACAACTAGGTGATTAGCAACGGGGAATCAGTGGGTAATTTCCATCACACATTACTAAAGAAGAATCCATTTTCCTTGTTGCTGTTTCCTGAATTCCTAGGGAAATGAACTGTGTCGATTTTAGCTAAGGGTGCTTTGGAAAGAAAAGGAAACAAAATTTGGAGATTTTTCATGGGCATGGAAGCTAAAAAATGGGGGAAAAGTAATAAAAGAAAGTGAAATCTTGAGGACAAGGTTTAAGAGAACAAAGACAACCAGATTTTCAGTTAAAATGTCATCCTTCTTCCCATACTTCCTTCTTGCATCTTTCTTGCTTACCACTCATCCTGCTCCACTCTAACTACCCTAAACCCGAGCTGGACTCTTTCAGTTATTCATGTTTTCCATTTCCTCCTAAAGAATGCAAAAAACACGTGGCGTTATCTGACCTCTTGAACGCATGACCTCTTGAACGCACACTTTGCTCCTGGCTTCCCTGAGATTGCCTGCGGGAGTCTCCCTGTTTGCGGAACTGTTTCTAATGGCATTGCATGGAACTTCTTGGTAGGACATCACTACTTATATGATATACAGTCTTGAACCTTGAGTGTGGACTTTTTAAATCAAAAATCTAGAAAATAAGATTTGATGAAAGGGGAAACATCAACATGGCTCCCTGAGACTGTGTGCAAAGCAGCTCCAGCTTCCAGGAGCCCCCAAATATCTCCACTGCTTGGACAGCCTGTAAATGATCATTTTATCTATACGCACTATTCCTTTTTCCCTTCTTTTCTTTATAATGTGTATCATGCTTAAATTGCACATCAATATTGTGGAGAGCCATATGGAATCCTTGTGACTACCAACCTAGAAAACTTAGTAACTAGAGAAACACTCCTCGATTCATCTCCCTAGTGCAGGCGCTTCTCTAGGTACCATCATTGCTTTCTGTTCTGTATGCATCATCCTGTGCTTCTGCATGTGGAAAACCAGCTTTTTGTATTGCAAAGGGTACCACGCACATCATAACTGTAGTAAAACCGAATGCTTATTTTATAAAATGGATCAGATAGCAATGAAGACCCTAAGCAAAATCAATCCTTTTTGAAATGTTCCTTCAAGAGGGAGGTAGTGCTCTGAGGCAGGAAAAGGCCTTTCTTCCTTGCTGATGCCAGATCAGCAAGCTGGGAACAGTCAGTCCTCTAGGCTTCACCGGAAGAAAACATTAAAGTTCAGAGTCCCATAAAAGTGGGGACTGCGGCTGTCAGTCTTGCATTCCCACTCATAGGCCATGCTCTAGTGCCCAGCTTACATGTCCTTAATGCTAAGTTACATTGACTGCACTGTAGACTTATAGTTTTATGGTTCTTCCAATTTATTGATGTATTTCTCTTCTGTTACTTATCCTCATTTATGTTAAACTTATGCATCAAAGGCAGATTATTTTAATAAAACCTTGATGACTATAATACAAATATAGGATTAGTGTATACGTTTTATATAGTACTTCTAGATGTTTTGTGGGATGATGCCATTCAAAGTTTATTTCAAATGCTTCCTTTTAGTAATCATATCTTTACAGGTGGGGCCTTCTCTTTTCAAAGCCCTTGGAAAAGACGGCGCACAATGCACCCTCAATCTTTCTCTGGACGTGCCATCTCTGTGGTGCCAGATGCAGCACATCTCTCGCACTTCTCCAGTTCATCCCTGCAGTCCGTCTAGGGCGGTGGTCACTGGCTTTCCCTACAGGGCATGCCTTTTCAGGCCCTATGCTTGCTCTTGAGACCACTTGCCTTTGGGGTTGTACATGAAAGCAGTCATGCCTGACACGTGGGGCCGGCTGTGTTGCAATAAATACTAACAAAAGAGGCAGTAAACTGAACAGATTTAAGTAGTCAGCACACCAGTCCTTGGCTTCCGCTGTACACTTAGTGTTACCTGGCTACTCAATCTTATTTATTCCTCAAAATAAAGCTGTAAGCATATGATTGCCCCCTTTCGTGGGTAAGGAAATGAAGGCTTAGCAAGCTGCCAAGATGCTCGTCCCCTAGTTGGTGAGCCAAGTGTCCTTGGGTACATATGGGCCTTGTTCAGCAGCCAGTGTCTCACAGGTGACACCACTGTCTCATCCTAACTTGCTGCCTTCGCCCCTCTTTTCTCCCCTCACAGCATTCTCTGCAGCATCAAGACTCTTGAAAATGTGAAGTTGGTCAGCACTTGTCCCTCTTTGAAGTGCTTCTGTGACTTCCGATGGAACTCAAAGCAAACTCTTTACTGGGCTTTCAAACCTGACCTGGTCTGAATGCTGTCTACCCTGCTACTTCCTCTTTCGGGCTGTTTTTCTCCTGTAAGCCCCAGCTGCACACTCCATGTTCTGTTTCTGAGACATCCTCAGTCCCTTCTGGCCTGGTGGTCTGCACACGGGGTGCTGCTTCTGCCTCGGGCCTCCGCCCTGCTCTCCCCCAGCTCTGCCCACTTCCTTGTCTTGTCACTCCTTTCCCTCACATCACTTCCCCCGAGAAGCCTTCCTGATCTTCTAATCTATGATTTACAATCACTGTTTTATCTGCAAGATCCTTTCACTCTGATGATTTCCTAATCCACACTTTATGGCCTGCCTGCTGTCTAGAATTTAAACTCTGTAAAAGCAAGTACCTCTTCCCTTATTTACCACCATATTGATCCAGTATTTAACAGTGGTTAACATGCAGTAAAAGCTCAGGAAATGTCTATAAGTATGTGCTGAATGAATGCTTATTAATAAAACTTTCATGCTTTTCATCATACTATATGTCCTCCAAGAATGACTGAAGCTATTTCCCATGACATGTACTGAAACTATGATTGAGGAAGCATTTTGTTTGTGTGACTCCACTCACATCTCTGCTTAGAGTCCCAAAGACGCATCAGAAAAACAAACACACCAAGTATGTCTGGCCACTTGGCTCAGTGGTGTAAGGTGACAATAGACTCTGTATAAAGAACAGTAGTGTAGCCGGCACAGTGGTGGTGGTGGTGCATGCCTGTAATCCCAACTACTGAGAAAGTTGAGGAAGGAGGATCTTTGAGGTCAGCCCAGGCATCTTAGTAAATACCCATCTCAAAATAATACCTTTAAAAGGCTGAGGACGTTGTTACAGTGTTTGCAGTGCAGAGACCACGCTCTGTGAAGTAGTGTTGGTGTTCAATTCCTGGTACTACTACAACAAAGTAATTAAAATAAATAAAGCACAAAGAAAGAAGCGGCAGCCCTGTGCTAATGTGGCTAAAATTCTTTGTGCTCGGAAGCAGCCTTGCTGCAATAATTTAGCTTGTAGAGTCATATTCTTCAAACATGTCATTTAGGAATGAAAACTATGATTTGGAGGGGAAATGACTTATTTCACGCTGAGATCAGAATAAATTGACAAAATTTTTCTTCATGCCCTTGTCTGAACAGGATCAAATACTATTCTCCTCTTAATCAGATTATACATTCTTCAAGGGTAGAGACCATGTTTCTTCGTATTCTCTGTGATGTTGAATATGCAGGGCATTTAGTAAATGCAGCAGTGTCTTCAGTGGAAATAAGGGTGTGTAGGCCTGCAGCGACTGACTTCATGGTGGGCAACAGGACTCTGAACTGCACGCAGGCCAGGTGGAAGGTGTGAGCGCTCTACAAACCTCATCTCGCCGGTAGTAAAAGGCCAAGATTGACATTCAGAAAACTCTCTAAATTTAGAGATCTAAAGGTCTCTAAGATCCTGAACAAATAACTTAAAAATTGACTTTTTCAACCTGATTTCCTTATCCACTAAACAGAAGGGTGAGCCAAGGCTATATAGCTCAGCAGTGCAACTTCTGCCTTTAAAAAAAAAAAAAAAAAAAAGCGGGGGGGGGGGAACTCAAATGTGTGATTGTTGGGCTATCCTGCAGTGCTAATGGTCTATCATTTCACCTAGACTGTAATCAAAGAAAAACAAATTTGCTTACAAAAGTTTATTTTGGTTTCATACACATTATTCATAATGCCATGTAAAATCACAAGACGTTTCCTAACTTATGAAAGGCACCACCAATTTTTGGCTAATGGCTTAATAGCCAAAAAATCACCTCTTCTCTCCGCTCCAGTTGTCATGTCTCCTTCTGTTGTCAGATCTCTTTGTTTCACTCTTACAAGATCCCTGTGATCACCTCGAGGACAAATCTGGATAATCCATGGTGACCTACCTATCTCAAGGTCCTTGAGCTCAATCGCATTCGTGCAGCTCCCATCACCACCTAAGGTGTCAGTCACAAGTTCTGGAGACTGCGATGTGGGTGTCTTCAGGGCTGATCTTTCTACCTCGCACACTCAGCTGTCAGAAGCCGGCACAAGCTGTCTCATTTCCAGGAGGGTTGCACCTGTAAAGAGAAACCAAGGAGATGTCTGGCCAGCAAGTTAGCTGTATTTCTGGCTCCTCTGTGTCACTGTGTAATAAAGCATTTTTAGAATCATGCCATGGAAGGGGCCTGGGCCTTAAGAATAAATCTAAATCTCTGATCTTATCGATGAGATGACTTGGGCATTGGCATAATCTCATGAGGTGACTTGCCCAGGCCCTTCGTGCCATCAGAGTGGGGCCCAGGTGCTCCAACTCCAAGCGAGCTGCTACCCATGCTCTTGCCTGCGTTTCCTTATCAATATTTACTTAATAAACAGCAGCAGGTTTCTAAGCTGGCAAATGTAATCTGTTTCACAAAAGCAGTACAACAAAACCCCCTGACAGCCAGCACAGCTGGCACGCACCTGTGCCAGGGCAGCACCACGGAAGTGCACAGGAGCTACGGTGCTGCATACTTTTGTATTGGAAATCTGAAAGCTTCTTTATTGTGCTTTCAAAGCCTGGCTGGCACTGTGGGCAAGAGGGAACTTGTAAAAAAAAAAATAATTAATCTTTTGAATAAAGGGGTGAAATGAGCCAGTGATTTTTTTACTAAGAGAGCAACCTAACCTCATTCAAGTTTAATGGGGTGGGCTGGGGTCCTCGGCTGTTCACGGTTCTCAAGGTGCAGTGTCCAGATAAAAAGCGCCACCAATGCTGGGGCTGCCTATAAGTGAAAATGATTGTTTCTCACCCCTACCTGTATCGGAAGTCTGAGGGAAAGGCCCAGCAATATGTCTCAGCAGGCCCTCCTGCTCATTCAGGAGTAAGCTACCATTTGAGAGCCACTTCCTTACAGTAATGCTGTTTTCTCTCTCTCTGTAAACAAAGTCCAGGGCCAAAGAAAAGAGTTGGGCAGACCAAAGCAATGCAGGGCAGACATAACCCGGAGGTTGCAACTATCACCATGAGCTTCCTCAACAAGCCCAAGAGTGAGATGACCCCAGAGGAGCTGCAAAAGCGGGAGGAGGAGGAATTTAACATGGGTTCACTTTCTGTGCTGACCCAGTCAGTCAAGAATAACACCCAGGTGCTCCTCAAATGTGCAACAAGAAACTACTAGGCCGGGTGAAGCTCTTTGTAGGCACTGCAGCCTGGTGCTGGAGAATGTGAAGGAGATGTGGACTGAGGTTCCCAAGAGCGGCAAGGGCAAGAAGAATTCCAAGCCTGTCAACAAGGCCCGCTGCTCTCCAAGATGATCCTGCGCAGGGACTCAATCATTGCGGTGCTGCGGGACCTGCTCGCTCATCGCTGGCAAGTAGGGGCCTCCTCCCTGCTGCCAGGACCTGTGCCACCCCTTGAAGACCTGTCCTTCATCACTGTACTGATAATATAATGCTATATGTTAAAAAAAAAAAAAAAAGAGTTGGGAAGCAAGGCTTCTTCCCACGTGGGGAGGAGCTTGGAAATGCTCAGGGGTGAGGGCGGCGCTCCTCCCGGCGTGCGGAGCGCAGAATTCTAGGACAGCACGGATGGAATCGACCTGCAGCTCCGCAAGAAAGGGCCGGGCCGGCGGAACACAAGGGCCGCGCTGCAGAAGGTTCAGGATGGTGGCTTTGAGGGACAGCAAGGTGAACAGTTTGGCCAGTGTGGCAAGAGGACTTACTATGCATATAAAAAGGACCTTGTTTCCTTCCCAGCAACCCAGCAATTTGAAAGAAAAGAAAGAAAAAACAAAAATCTCTGTCTTTAAGTGAAAGAGTGAGGAAAAGGAAGTGGATTCCCAGCAGCAAAATCATTACAAGAGAGACTGGAAGCTTACTGGGTAACAGCAGCAGAAGTCTGTTAAATCATTTTCTTAAAAGTTCAGGAACATTCGATGGAGGCTGCCTCATCTTCATTTTACCTATGGTGAGTGTGAGGTTGCGGAGGAAGAGGAGGAAGGAAGGCTCCTTTTTCCCCTTCGATCAAGAGATAGAAGATGGAGGTAACGTACAGTGTTCCTGAGGGCCAAATAGCTCACCGGATTAAAGTGCCTGCTTGGGCAGATGCAGGGCCAGCAGTTGGATCCCCCGGCCTGCGGTGCGGGCCCCGCCCCCGGGGCCTGCCGAGACAGCAAATGAGACTGGACGTGGTGGCGCGCCCTGTCATCCCAGCACTTGGGAGGCTGTAAACAGGAGGATCACTATGAGTCTGATCTACACAGTGAGACCCTGTAGACCCTGTCCAAAATACAAATACATAAATAATAAAGGACAAAAAAATAGATAATAGGAGACAAATACAGTGTTCTCGTTCACTAGGCAGCAGAGGCTCCTCTTATACACGACGGGAGTTGGACCTAGGGCGCTGTCCTCAGCTTGAAGCTATTTGTCCCCCTGGATGCATTTGGCAGTGTCTGGGACAATTTTGATGTTCACAGCCTGCCAGGATGCGACAGGCATCTAGTGCATAGAGATCGAGGCTGCTGGGGACCTCTCCCTGCACACAGTCACCCAGATCCAAGTACGAGAAGGCTGCAATCAGAAGGGTCTGGTCTGGGGCAAGCGTCCTGACACGTCGAGTGTCTCAGTCCCATGTAACTACTAAAAATCTCGGGCTTGCAGGTGGCATAAACTGTGTCTCTAGTATTCATACTAAGTCAAAGTGACAGAGGAATAGAGATGGCTGGGAGAGCTGGGCATAACGACAGATGGAGACACCAACGGGACTCGGGAGAAAAGCAAGGAAACAGGTCAAATATGCAGCAGTCAGGCGGCGGGGAGGTTGCTAGCTTAACGCGCAGCCGCCTTAGCCAGGCCTTTCCTGGCGTGTGGCCAGCGGCTGTCCTCGCGTTGGCCACTCCGGCCTTGCGGGGGGCGGTGCCAGCTCAGGCACAGAGCTGTGCATGGGCAGTAGGCCGTGGAACCGAGCGCTCTGAACGTCTCACACACGGCACCCCACCAAGTCACCGCTACCATTTCATCCCTGAAGGAGTGACGGTAAAGTCTACTCATTACCCGAGACCCTATCATGAGCGTCTTCATGACTTCCTATGACGACGGGTCTAAAAGGCCGGTATTTTGTACTCAGTGTTCGCGGAGAATACACTGTGCATTACAGTAAGCAGCGGGAGCTTCCTGCTTCCTGTAGGAGACTGCCCCAGGCGCCGGTTGTTCAATTAACAGATTTTAAATAATTCACTAAAGGCAGACAAAAAAAAAAAAAAAAAAAAGGTCAGATTTTACCTAACTGATCTTTTCCCCAAATTGTTGATACTAAAAATGTAACTTACACACACGCCCTTGTAGGGGGATGTATTTAATGCACCACAATGATATAAAACTTCCTTTGGAGGAAAAGTAGACGTTTATTGGACTACTTCGTTGATTTTTACTGCTTTCCTAATTAAAGTTGGTAACATTTCTAAGTTTCTCTTAATTGCTTGGTAACCCTTTAATTAAAAAAAAAACTGTCTGGAATTTAATTAAGTTCTATTTAATTCTCCCACAAAGTAGTCAAAATAAAGAAACTTGGGGTATGGTTTTCAATACATAACCTGAAATTAAAGAAGTTGTAATTTTTTATTAAGTGAGTGATTTCTGGGTGTGTGGCCCAGTATGGATCCCTGAGTTGGATCCCTAGTGTCACAAAAAGAAGAATAAAAGTGATTTGTCTGGATGAAGCTGATCCTCTTCCAGCACGTGTTTTTCCCTCATCTGTTCACTTCCACAGATATTTTCAGTATATTTGCGCTGGTCCTGGATGTCTGAGAATCATGAAGCGTAAGTTCAGACTCTTCACAGGTTTTTAGAATTTAGAAGAAGAATATCATTAATGTACTTGACCATGTTTATGTGGTCTGAAATATTCATTGGAAACATTCATCAAAAACTAATGTTTTTGAAATCAAAATGAGATTATATTGCAGCTTGTTAATTTTTTCCCTGGTCGCTAGCTGATGTCGCAAGGAGGAAGTCAGCTCGGCAAGGGCTACCACAGCATTCGCTGAAAGGAATGCATATGCCTGTGTCCAGCCGGAGGGATCCAGTGGGGTCACAACTGCTGCAATCACGTGGGCTGCCTGGACACGCACACGTGTACTTGCCTGCGTGCCCATTCTGCAGGCTGTTACTGAACCCCTCTGCATAGAAATGACTAGCACTCCTACTGGGGAAGTCGTTTCTCAAAATACTATTGGATGAAATAAACTTTCTTTTTTCATCTTCTACTATTTAGGGTTTTTCCTGGCTCACCCTCCTTGGATTCAGCCCATTCCATTAGCTTCATTCTCATTCATCCTTAGAACTGAGGAAAGTCACTGTCACTGCCTCAGGGAGGCTTCCAGAGCCCCCCGATGCAGGTGGAGGGGGCTATTTTGTCTGTGGGCTCTCTGGCGACTTTGCATTCCTCAGGTGGAAGGACCGGGTCCTCCTCACCCCAGCTCTTGATCCAGCCCTGGCATTCCTCACAGCTGAGTTTTTATCTTCTATGTAGCTGGTACCGAGGACCCTGCCTGCCATGCTGGGCACTTAATGCATGTATTTATACAAATCTTCTTTGGCAGGTATCATGGTAGGTAAAAATCAGCTCTTCAGTTACACTGTACAGGAATGCATAACTATCAAGAACATTGAAAATAATGTCTGGACACTTATTCCTGAGATAGATTTATAGAAGAGAACCAAGCAAAAGGATCAGGCACGAGGCAATATACAGAAGGCTGCTAGGACTCAACAACGTCTAGGGCTTCAAACAAATGCATTCAGTCGTACAGCAAACGTTAAGCTGTGTATTTAGAGGCAGGTGCTGAACTAGTCTGCAGGAACTGAGAGACAAAAGGCTCCAGGATTGTAGTTACAATGAAAGGAGCTAAGCACATCATATACTGTGTAAGACATATGCTCACATAGGACATGTGCTTGTGCAGGCTGTGTGCTGTGCAAGACATGTGCTGTGTAGGATGTATGCTGTGCAGGATGTGTGCTATGCAAGACGTGTGCTCTGCAGGTTGTGTGCTGCTGTGCAAGATGTGTGCTGTGCGGGCCATGTGCTGTGCAGGACATGTGCTCTGCAGGACGTGTACTCTGCAGGCCATGTGCTGTGCAGGTCATGTGCTGTGCAGGCCGTGAGCTGTACAGGATGTGTGCTGCGCAGGATGAGTGCTGCACAGGACATGTGCTGCACAGGACATGTGCTGTGCAGGCCGTGTGCTGTGCAGGCCGTGTGCTGCACAGGCCGTGTGCTGCGCAGGCCGTGAGCTCATGTAGGTAGTGTGCTGTGCAGGCTGTGTGCTGTGCAGGCCATGAGCTCATGTAGGTAGTGTGCTGTGCAGGACATGTGCTGTGCAGTGGTGTGCTGTGCAGGCCGTGAGCTCATGTAGGTAGTGTGCTGTGTAGGACATGTGCTCTGTAGTCCATATGCTGTGCAGGCCGTGAGCTGTGCAGGCCATGTGCTGTGCAGTGGTATGCTGCGCAGGCCGTGAACTCATG